AGGTGAAGTGGAAATAGGAACAAATCCTCCTCAATTAACTAACAAAGCTGTTTTGTTTATACATTTCCTGTAATAGTATTTATGTAGGAAATATTGCTGGTAATGTTAAACATTTGAGCGCCCAATACCATGAACCTGGTTCTAGTTAAGCTAAGACATAGACAGAACAGAAGTTCCGGTGTCTTCTCTTCGATCGCCAGTAGATATGTACTATAGGAGATTCGACAGAACAGACCAAGACTGGATCCGTGCATTCCTATAGTCCAGTGTGTCGTTAGGACAGATATTAAACTATAAACTTCCAATTTACTTCTATGTTAATGTAAAAATGTTATAAAATATTGATTATAATTATTAATACATGCAAAAGCAACCTATATTTGTTATTTGATAATTATATTTAGCAAGATCTACCAATTAGGCAATATTTTGATATTCCACATGTAAATGACTCGGCCCTACACAGTGGCATTTAGAAACGACAATAGCACCCTGTCAAAGCAACAATAAAAATTGTTGCTCTGTTCACGTAGAACAGAGTATGACTAGAATGCTTTCGAATTGTTTTAAAATTTTAAAAGAAAACGGTTCTCTTATTGTAATTTTTTATGAATTTGGTAGTGTTACGCCCTGTTTTCAATGCCGAAATTTATTTAAACAAAAAAAAATTGATAAACATTACAACTAATGGCATGTGATGATCACGTGCACAGCCCACATGTATCCACATTGTGTTTAAATATATAGACGAAACATATATACGAGTATATGTATGGACTAATGTTATATAAACAATAGCTAATTTGAATTTTTAAATATGTAACTAAATTTTTATAAACGAAAAAGCACGAAAAGCCTATAAACAGCGAATGAAGGCAACATAATTTGTGTTCAAGAATACAGAAACGAAAATAAAATTGATTCCGTGGTATGGGAACAAAGTTCAAACCACAAGTAAAAGGTATTTTGTAATCGTGTATATTGGTGTATAGTTCGATGCATAGTTACATTTGTATCTATGTTTATAAAAATCACATAAAATGGAAAATTCGGGCAAGCAGCAGTACAAAATTTTAAGTATCTCACGCATTGAAAAAACACAACCCGACGCACAAAACAAAACCGATTTGAAAAGTTTTCTGTAAAAAATTTCGGTTTTAATAAAAAAAGTTATTGCAAAGAAACTAAAACGAAACAATTATAACGGTTATAAATCGTACTTGACCACTGCACTGCCAAACGCAATAAATTTTGGTTTTGGAGGCGAACGAGTATCATTTCGAAACTTTGAGACCAACCATCAACCATCAACCATCAAAAATACAAAATACAGTACGCAAGAGAAACTAACTTGTTGCATTCACTTTTTAAGATACAAATTTTTTATTCCAAAACCAGCATTAAAACTACGAAAAATAGTTATAAAAGAAATGAGCTTTAATTCGTCTATTCTCATTTAAGATATTAAAATTTAACTTTGTTTTTATAAATAAGTAAATAATAAAAGATAAAAGTGAAATTTAAGAAATAGAAACGAAAAATATCTCTGATTGAAACCATCACAGATTTTAATTACATTTAAGTATAATAATAAAATTTATTCATATACTGAAATATAAATAATATGTACAGATAGTTCCTTGATCTCGTTTAATCTAGCTTAGTTATTATTACTAAGACCTAATTACTATTAGGTCTCCACAATTGATTAAGATTCTCTAGAAAGTATTTTCTTCACATCTGCGGTAGATCTATTAAAAGGGTCTTTGACATAAGAATTAAAATAAATAGGAAAGCATCATAAACTATCTGAAAGACACAGTGACATAGAAAATATCAAAACGCCAATCCAAAAAGTTGCAGAGTCGATTTACTATTTTTGTGATTCCTTTTTGGAGGATCTTGGGCAACTTCAGAATCCTCTAATGAGCATTTCAAGTTTTGCCAATAATTCAAAGCCATTTTTGATTCTTTAAGTTCTTATACCGCAACACAATGGGCCAATAGCCCTAAATGAGTGGTTACGCTTGCCAGTATAAGCTAACGTCTTCAAAAACAGTTAACTTTAAATAGTCTCTAATGTAAATATTACGTACTCTCCGAAATTTCATTAGAGTGTACAACCATAGTACAACCATAGTTATTATTCACAATAATCTTAAGAATGAAAGTATATCTTATTATTTAATTATATCAAAATAATAACTTTTGCTGTCTTCGATTGCATATCTTTACTAGTAGTTCCTTTTTCTTCGTGAGTTCAGATAATGTAATGTTTACAGATTATAGTTATAATGTAATTGTTCCTTCTGTTATTATTGTTTTATAAGCATTTATTCAGATAATACCAGACCTCATAAGCCACATATAATATAATCATACAATATGAAGCTCTCCGACTCTCAAAATTACTGCCAGTGATGTTCTTTCTTTTACATATGAGGTCTTTCATAAAGAAAGATTATCTGATTGCTAAAATATGCCCTTTGAATCAACAACAGGAATCTGGAATCTATTTCATAATAAAACCTTTTCATTTTCCCCGTTATGGGTTTTTATTCAACTTTCATGTATGATATGAAGATGTTAATTTTTTTTTTGCTTTGTGGGACTGATAATGATTTAAGTGAATATGCGCTATACACTATATAAAATGATACACTATATATGTATACATTACTATATACATGGCTCCCAAATATAGATTTTATTGTTAGTCATTTATACTGCCAAGCTTTTTAAAGATAGCAACAGTTTGACTTATTGGTCCTTAGCGACACCAATAGAAAATTAATTAGAGAAATAATCTCTATGTAGCTTTAGTAATAGACATTTTTGCGAATTTTAGTAGTGTTTTAAGATTTGTTTTTGTTAACAAACATTTTTTTTAGATTTGAACCCAGACTCTGTGGTTCGAGTACAACAGTGTCAACAGGACAGTCTTCATTATGATTAAAAATTAAATTTAAAAGCTTTTATTTGACTGAAATGATATATTCGAGTTGCGGTGCAATTAAGTAACCAAAGTTAATAGTTTATATGTTAATAACGTAAGCTAGCTAAACAAAATTGGACAAATGAACTCTTCTATCAGATCTTAAGATCGATTCAGTCGAAATTGGACAAGAAATGTATCAGTAAGTTGCTTCAACTAAGGCATTTAGTTACAGACATTATGCTATATAATATATAATAGCACTATGTTATTGGTGCTGACAGGTCACTGTGTACTAGTAGGACATGCTATGAGACTGTGTACTCTATAATGATTTTTGTCGCGGATAAGAAGGAAACTGTACTCTACCTCATGTGCCAGTGTCCATCATTGGTTAGGAGAAAATATAAAATCTTTGGAGCTCAGTTTTTTAACATCTTAACTGAGCTGTAATCCTATAAAATTCGAGATTTGTTCAAGTTTATAGACTGATTAGGTTGGTTTAGTATCATTTGAATATGTAAGTTGTGACTTTCAGCGTTCTTTTTATTCTGACCTCTAGTCTGTGTATGAACAACTCTAGTCTGTGGTATTACAACGTGCCATTATTTGAGCTCAAGTCGGCTTTGGGCATAAGGCCGTTACGCCGACCTAACCTAAGCAAACTCTTAGCTGTCATTTTAAGTCAGAAAGCAAGCTTAAATAACTTATTGTAGTAATGAGATATAGCATAAGGAGATGGAGCCAGTTTTAAAAAAATGTGTATACACAAACCTTTTTCAAAGCAGCTTATTGGATACTACTGTAGTCCATATGTCATAAGAATAAATAGTTGAAAAAATTTATTATATCTCGTGTAAAATAGTCTGAAATATTATAGAGGGAGACGGGGATGGTTGTGATCCAAACCCCCTCAAACCAAAAACCATAACGACACTACTTAAATTATTAAAATAAACAGTAATCTTTATAATGTTTTATTTTGTAGTGTACCTTTTTTATTGAATACCAGAAGTATTTCAATTTTGAGTTCAGAATAATCAGTTTTTTACTGATATTGGTTTGACCTAATTATGATTTTTTAATATTATAATATAACATAATATAATATTAATTGAAATCTTTTCTAGTCTTTTGCTATATTACTTTTTTCAGTTATCCATTTTATTGTTTACACATAATTGCAATTTTATTGACCTTGACTATTGCAGTCATTGGGAGCCAGTGTAATAACACAGGACAAAAAAGAATTACACCCTCTGAACTATGACATAGGTAGTTCCTATACTTAGGGGAATTAGAAAAAACATTCTATAATACATAAAATCCTTAATAATATTTCACATTAACGAAATCTAAAGCAAACTAATTTACACAAGGAAATCAGAGAAAGGATAACCTTTCTGTTATCCTTGAAAATATTGAATTTATTTTGAGCTTTATGTTGCTATGCTCCGCAGCACATAACCACTTTTATGGAATACATAAATTTTAAACAAATGTTATGTGTTCTGTTAGTTACTTTTAAACTAGGTCGTAGCATATCTATTTAGAATCACATATATACTTCTTATGTAGCTGCTATGTTTTGGAGCAGCTTAACTGCCGTTGGTTAGCACTAAAACTTATATTTTGTAAGCTGCGGTAAATAACAAAGCAGCGCTTTGTTCTACATTTTTATTGTGTGTTGTTTCTACTGATGGCTGAGCTTTCAACCTTGACATACATACACAGCATAACGAATACAACAAATACAGCAAAAACAGCAAGCATAACTCCCACACCATAAAAGCAAAGCATACACATAGTGGGAGTTGCCACAGTTTTTCGATTGTGTAAGGTCGCCTTGATAGCTTATTTTTTTGCAACACACCAACCAACGATTGGCACTGGCACTGGTGTGTGTTCAACGTGTGTTCAGTGTGTATGCGCTATAAACACGGCGAATATGATTTTCTTGCCTCAACTCACCCTACACGAAACTAACAGTACTCGAAGCAAATGAAAATATGTTGTATATACAAAATAAAAAAAATGGTTGTATTCAATGTAGAAATAAACTCACCTCAGTTCCAATGGCGGTTATTTTAACAACAACTTCATCTTTTTCAGCATCATGGCTTATAACATCACCAGATGTCTCACGTCCATTATAGGTGAGGAAAACACGCTGACCAGGCTGTAATTGTATGCCCATAATTGTACGAAAACCAGGACCGACTAAATCTGATTCACGAAATTCTTTAATCATAGCATTACGACGTAAAGTCTGTGCAGGACTAATATGTATATGGGCTGTCCGACGTGCCTCCATTATGACCGATTTACCAATCGACGAATTAGAGTCAATATTTTGCATTGTTTGTGTTTTAAAATCGAAGCGTACAATATATATTGTATCTGCGTTGCCACCGACGGCAGTTGCTGCGTCAACCGCAGCAGCGACGTCAGCAGTAGCAGCTGAATTTAATTCGCTGTGCTCGTTAGTCGCGTAAGAGACTGTGGCAGTTGGTGGCGTTTTAACGTCCTGTATAACACCTGAATACCAGAGACCGTCTGGACCAGGTGCACAAACTTTTGTACCGATTATTGAACGTTTTGCTAAGCGGCGACCAGTTGACATTTTCCGTTTATAAAAACTTTGTTTTAAGTCAAAACAAAAAAAAAATAAAAACTTTTTATTTAATTTAAAAAAAAAAGACGGAACGATTCTGTTGTTGTTATTTTTTACAGTACGTTTTTTTTTTTTTCAATAAAAAATTGTTAGATATTTTTTATGTAAGATACGTTTTTATGTTTTGTACGTTTTTAATTTTAATAGAAAGATTTTTATAGAAATCTAATAAATGAGGTTACCTTTAAATGTGTATATTAATTGAAATTTTAATTTATGTCAGAGGATTTTGCTTAGATTTTTATGTGAGTGTATTTTTATATATATTCAGAAATATAAAATTAATACACAATTTTTTATTGCTCTCGGTTAGGGTTAATTTGTTGTGTATATTTCGACAATTTACTTTTAATATATAATTATATATATATACTTTTTAAATTTTCTTATTTCAATTTATTTAAAATTTTAATTTTTTTTTTCACAAATATAAGGGTAAGTTAAAACTCCTTTTTGTTTTAATTAAAATTAATTTTAATTAAATTTGAAAATATTAGTTCTATTGTGGTTCTAGTTTTTCTATATGTTTATATATTTTTTGTGATGTTGCTAACACTTTCCACTGCTCTGTCACTTCTTACTTTCATCAATTTTTGGTGATCAGTAGAAGATACATTTTTTTGAACGATTCTTGTAAACAAATTTCAGTTTATTTGTTATGGATATCGTTTGTCAAAAATTTTTTTTTATTTGTTGTATATATTAATTAATTTTTATGTACTTTGTCAAATTTTTTTTTTTCAATTTGTTATATGCTTTAATAACTTTTATTTGATATATACTTTATAAAATGATTTTTTTTTCAATTTGTTGTATATTTTAATAACTTTTATTTGATATATCAAATATTTTTTTTTAATTTGTTGTATATTTTAATTACTTTGTATACACTTTCTCAAATAATTTTTTTTATCGAATTTTTTTTATTTTCTTTAATTTCTTTTAATTGATTTTTTTTGAATATGTGGTTCTAAAGAAAAAAATTTTTGTATTTCAATCTTTACTTTTTTTCACTGCAACTCTCAATGTGGTATCTTCTGATTTTTACAATATGTACCAATATATTTTTTTTAGATTTGAGATTAATTTCAACACTTTTCAAAGATTTTGGCCAATTTTTTTATATTTGATTTTAATATATAGTTTTTGCACTTTTGATTACAATTGCTATTTTTCACTTTCTTTTTTTTTTGTTACTTTTTATTAGATTTTTTAATTCAAAATTTTTTTCTTAGTTCACTTAAGTCAAAAAAAAAATGTTCAACAGTTTGTAGATGTTTTCCTTTCCTCGTAGGTTCTTCTTGTTTAGCTTAGCAACATTGCGTACACTTTTGCTATTGAGATGAGAGAATGTTTTTTGGCGTTTCGAATTGGAAGATATTTCGAAATTGTTGATTAAGACTTTGGGCTTTTTTATTATATTTTTGTGGTACAATTCCAAACTGAGTGTAATGCGTTGGTTGAATTTTTGATTGTATTGTAGATTCTTTGTCACATCAATGGGTTTGGCCGCATTGTTAAGGGCTCTCGTAACTACATGCTTAGTTCCGCGGGAGGTTGTAGCTTTGTTTTGTTTATTCCTAAGCATAATCTAATATTTTTTTTGTAAAGATACAGCTTGAAATCTGCACTTAACAAAACAAACTGAAATTCTATATAGTTCTATATATAGAGAGAGAGAGACAGAGAGTAAAAATACAATTGTTTTTTTGTTCTAGATTTAATTAAACAAGTTTTTCTTTGTTTGTTTTTAATATTTAAAATTTATTAAATACAATTAATTTAAGCACAACAATTAAAAAGTTTTTGTTTTTTTTTTGCAAAAATAACTAAGTCCTTCACATAGACTTAAGCTAAAATATGTAAAAATTGCACTTATTTTCGTAAGGTAAGCACCAAAAAATGTTTTCGTAAAAGTCCACTTGCTTAAATGTATCTGAAAACGTTAGCTGCACAATTTGTTGTCGTATTGCAGTTGAATTTCAGATTTTGAATAGCAACAAAATTCACAAACCGGCTTTTGTTGGTCTCAGTTATTGTATATTGTAGATACGTACACGTTTGAAAACAAACTACTTCGAACAACTTCGATATTTGTTTATAGTCTTTGTGCAATTTTTTTTTATTTTGTTTGTAATTCGATAATTACTCAAACTGAACAAAAATCAAAATAAAAATCCAAGTCCCAAGCGGTATAAGAAAACTTCATCAGCAGGAAATTTCTCTTTCGCTTGACTATATGCGGGTTTGCTTTTTTCAGTTTGTTATTGTTTGTCTAAATGAATCTAACTGGACGCAAACATGCATTGACATCGGTTAAAATATTTTAATCTAGCTGCATTTGTAGTGACGATTTTACAAACGAGAACTGCGTTTTCACTCTTCGAAAAGCGCTTATCTATCTGAACACGAGAGCTAGCTATCAACGACTGAATTTGTATCTGCAAAATACATGAACACACACTTGAAGCCAAACAAATAACGTTTTGAGTAAAAAAGTCAAAGTAAAATTAAACTCTCCCGTCGTATTTTTTTTGCCTCTGTTACCGCTGCTGCTCATATTTTACTCATATTGGTGTTGTTGTTATTATTGTTGTTGTTGTTGCTGCTGTTTTCGTTTATGTTGCTGTTACAATTAGTATCAGGCATTGTCGGAATTTATACAAAGTATATAGCAAGTAAAGCAAGTCAAACTCAGATACATTTTCAAATAAATGAAACGCAATCAAAAGAGCAAAATATAGAGAGAGGAAAATCAACCTAACTATTATCAAAATTAAAAGTACTCTTTCTATTGTGTAACAATTTCTCGACTTTTTTCTCTTTCTGAATTTCGGAATTTCTGAACAGCTCAACAAAGCGCATAGCTTTACAAATAGATATAAGATACATAAGCGCTACAAGATACAATTCCTATGCAGTGCTCATATACATAAAAACATAGAAAATGTTGTACAATTTTTGGTTCTATTAAATCTTTTCACGGAAGCATCTACAATCAATGCTGCCGCTCTTCGTTACTCTGCTTTGTGAAAAGAGCGCAAAATTTTGTTTTCTATTTTGAAAAAAAAGAAGAAATCAATTAGTTAAATGTATACGAAATAACATTGTAAAATATAAAGAAGTCAAATATATGAATTAATTTACACATTAATGTACTTTTAAGGTATTAATTGAGACTTCAGATACTTTTTATCAACTGCAACATCAGCGATAACGTCCTTTAACAGAGTTCAGATTTGTCGCAAAATCGTTGAAATAGATGTGAAAATGTCCACAGCATATCACCCTGTTATATTTTGATTCATATTCCATTAGAAATATTGAAGGATCTCTTATAAAAATAGAGTACTTTCATAGTTTGTTTACTGCCACGAAGACCCACCTTTCTTTCCTGATATTTTCTTTCTTCGACTATCGGTTCAAAGACTTTTTTCGACTTCTTACCTTTCGAAAAGTTTGAATACTGTAACGAAGACCCTACTTTCTTAACCTTTCGACTGTCAGTTCAAATAGATTATTTGGCTTCGATCCTTTTGAAATAACAAAGTCATTTCTCTCGGACTATTCCGTCACGAAAATTTATACAACCCGATTGTTGTGATTTCATATCTTCTAAACTATAGTTGAGGTCTCCAATACACCGATATCATGTATGGTAGGATATAAGATTTTATAATGTTGTCTTTCTCAGATATCATCATTTTCACAGATATTTAAATTGTGATTAATTCACTTGTATACTTTAAAGCGAAGTCAGGATCAGTTTTATTATGATTTTTATTGTGACTATCACTCAAAGCAATAAGTAGGCAATGATCGTCTGATATGAGTAACACGATTCATGAATATTATTCTGATTTTGTCCAAATCTTAACTGGGAATTGATCCATAGTGTTAACACACCATTGGATAAGTAACAAATAATAGAGCTGGTTCAGTTATGGTTGGCTCTAGTTGCAAAATGCAAGATTGATGATAATCTGTGCTAAACTTGGAATGGTATCATTTTATTATCTTTTCTGGAATTCGATTGGTAAATTCAGATTGTAAAATATTATAAGATAGTATTATTTTTTATTTACATTTTATCCCGTATTATTGTAAGCTTTGATTTGTTGTTATATAAGAAGACCAGACTAGTTTACTTAATTACTTTAATAGCCGTAAATTAATTAATTAAGGCGTCAGCCCCAAAACCTTCAACGGCATTCCTCTTCAGGCGCATATGCGCCCTCTCCAGTTTCTGACCACAGATCTAACGAAGAACTTTTGTTTTGAAAACTTTCAGTGCTGCATTATAATTCAGTGATGGCGTCCACGACGGATATGAAGATTAAAATAGAGACAAATAAAGTAAAGTAGATAGGAAATGACTAAAGACTAGGTATAAGACTAAATCAAAATAGTCCAAGCTTTGTCTTTTTAGTATGTCAGTTTCGAAACTTAATTGGAGTCAGATTTGTATATGCTATTGGAAAAATGAACTGGTTGAAAATATTAATATTTTTCCATATATGAAAAAAAAATTTTTGAAATAGAGGTCAACATTAAAAACTTGTATTGTTTTATTAGTAATATTAGGTGAAAAACCATTGTGTCAACTTTTAAACTAACGAATTCACTTTGGATAAATAATGTGAAAAGGTTCACAGCATTTACACCACATCCACCCATTATATTGTGATTCCTATTTCGTTAGAAATATACAGGAATCTCTTAAAAGAAGAAGTATTTCCATATTATTACAACAAAGCAGGAAGCAGATTATTACAACGAAGACTGTTTTCTTAAATTCCTCTTCGACTTCTATGTTACTTAACTGAATAATGTAAAACTCAATTATTATAATTTTAGAAGGGGAAGGGGGTACAAAAATATTTATAGATACTTCCAGATGTTAAATTAGATAGGTACGCTAATCCAGATATGTAGGTGGGAGGCAGACACTATTATACTGCAGGTATAGATTAGATTTCAGTTGCTATAAGCGTAATCTAATCACATACATAT